CACAGGAATATTCTATCTATGAATTAAAATATGTAATAAAACAATGAACTTATTATGAAGTGGGTACAATAATTTAATATCATGAAATCAAGGATTAATTAGATTCCATTATCCTAAGGCAATAATACTCGTAGTTTCTATTTTAACGGTAAATAATATTTACCCTCCCGACGTTTCGGCTCGGTTGCACGAGTCATGGTCGCGGGCAGACTGAAGAAACTTCGGGAGGGTAAATATTATTTACCGTTAAAATAGATATATTGTTGCAATAAATCCCGTGAAGTGATAATTTTATAATACTCGTAGTTGTAAATCAGATTGTGTTTGGCATAATAAATGAGTCTATTAAGTGGGTTTTCTTGTAGGTTTCTTTTGCATTACCTATAGATATTGTTACTCGGGGTTTACTGCAATCTACTTGGTAGGTATGATCAAGTTATCTATCATTTAGTCATAATCTTTTTGTAAACTGTCTAAATACCTAAATAGATAACAAGCTTGTATTTGTATCACGTATGCCTTTGATACCAATAAGTAGTTAGCTAACTTACCTTCCTACATTGCATTAAGAACTATTTTGATGGTAGAGACGACGGCACATCGCGCAAACCCTTTGGCACCTTATGTAGTTGTAACAGGTATTACTTTACATTAAAAACATGTATGGCTTAGGTGCAGTTTGTCACCCCCAAAGTAGACAAAAAGCTCGCAACAATCGTCGTCGTCTGTGTGCTGTTACCTTTTTAGCATTTTTTGGTGTCACGAACTATTTGACGCTGACTGTACCTACTCAATAAACTACTTTGTACTTAGTGCTTCGTGATAGCTTATTTTACGGCTAAGTAACAACTAGTTCATCAATTATTAATTGATGCTCAGTAGACTATGAAAAAGGGTTTAGAATTTGTCTGAACGATTAAATTAGAAGCGAAATTTCAGTTGGGAAGCTTTTGTCCAGCTTTGGATGGAATTCGGCTGAAACGAACTAACAACAGTAGTAACTTTTCTTTTCTTCTTGGTAACTATATTTGTCTTGTGTCTAACGTGAAAACAGAAAACGAATACAAATTGCCTGCATTTTGCTTCAGTAAGAATCTTAGATTCCTATCCTTTCCCTAACAAACTCCCATAGCGTCATAACAAGTTCACCAGCCTACAACCCGAGCTTAGTACTCGCCTTGAAAGTACCGACACAACATAAGTAGCTCGAGTAACCAATCACCTTGTAGACCATAACTTAACCGGACAAGTTGTACCGACGGCGATTAGCAGCAATCCTTTGTCTTGACATCAATAAAAGCAATACTCGCAATCTGTACGTGGGCTGATAACAAATTGTCAAGTAGCTATTGAGAAATTCTATCGTTGTGTGGGCGAGTAGCTCTAGGAAGTCTATGGTAAAAGTGACACTGGTTCTGTGAGAAAATGCTATGATACCTACTTACTCGTACTACTGTCCCAAAATATCATTGTTGACTTTACGTGTTTTGATAATGTGATGCATTTATATTTAAAAACTAAGGTATATCCTACATCTAAGCAGGAACATAACATAGGAACATACTGAACAATAGCAACTCCTAGATACACATACCTTAATTATCTACTAATGGGACTATTCCCACCTCATTCTCACCGCTGCAACTCCTGTGTGGTCAGGATCTACACCTTGACCGCCAATAAAACCCAACCAGGAAGTCAACCATATGCCAACTACACCATTATTTTACTTTCATATTCATAAACGTCACTTAACTGTAAATTATAGAACTACAGTCACCACGTTTCGCTGGTAAGTTTCCAGCCCATCTGGTCAGCGTGGAGAGTGCGGTTAAAATCCTCCATTTGCCTCTGGTAAACTAGAAGGGATCGTGCTCTTATAGTAGAGTCCAAATAAAGGCCTGGTAAAGATGTTTTGCTCTTGCCTGCCGAAAGTTTTTCGAGGTGGATCAGCAATGGATATTAAACGAATGACGACCAATAACAAACAAAACAAAATATTTACTCGGTAAGTTCATACATTAGAACAGCATTACAGTAACTTTTAAACCAAATTATAATCCAAATGCCGACTTGCATTCAAGAACTTATCGTCTTAGAAAATATATGTGTTTCAGACACTTAGGACTAGATTATTCTAGACCTAGCGACATTACACCTAAATGCACTTAGCGGCTGGCAATCTAAATTGTCTCAGTTAAATTAACTAAGGCACTAGTAGGTTAATCTAGAAATAAAAGTGCCAGTTTGCCAGTTAACTGTGTGGTGGCGGCAGAGTAGAATGCGTTTGTTACCAACCCCTACTCTTCCCACGGGTGTCGTAAGAGGCGACTTAGGGACTATAAACAGAGAACGGACAGCAGCGTTCTCTGATAAACATTAATCTTATGAACTGCGATCTCCAAACCGCCAAGCGTGAAGATTATGGCAAAACCTTCCACCAAAGTATAGGAGGCTCAAAGTCCAGCAGTGGACTGTAAAAGGCTGTTGATGATGAAGTAAAAGTGCAAATAAAAGTACAAAGCAATTACACAAAAAGTAATTTATGCACTTAAATTTTAATAATGGGTTACACAAAGCTCTACTTTTGTAGTTGACTGCACATCAGCTACATTTTTGTAGCAAAATAGCATCTATTTTTATTATAACTAGGTACATTTTTATGCTTTAGTATTTAGCTTGATGTGCTGTTGTTTGTAGTATTTGCACAACAATCGACATAAATAAAGATTCAGATTAACTTTATTGCTAATGGACTTCAGTTCTGTCACCTATTAGGGCGTCAATCAATACAGGCAAACGCATCTGGCGTCCGCCTATTACACCAAAGTGTAGCATTGTATTGGTTCTTAACTTGTCAGTGTTTTTTTTTTCTTGAACTGCTATTTGTATTCAGAATCTTCAAGTTGCGTGTTGTCAATTACAAAGAGACGAGATTTTCAAAATGAATTTCATTATGAGTAAGTAAGTAGGTACTTTTCGTTACTATCTCATTAACACATTTAGATAGCTACCTAAAAAATTATGAAATGAGAATAAAACAAAGTACGCCTCTTATAGGCTAATTTTATCGTTTTTTGCTGTGATTGTCAATTCCGCTAAAGGCTCTTCCAGTCAACAAACAGGTTGGTGAAATAGTAAGTAGAGACTAATGTCTCGTGAAAAGTTTTTGTATTTGTAGGTGTTCAGTGAACTCTACGATGTCTCCGTGGTCCAGAGCTAAAAGTGTAAGACTACATCGATTTAAAGGGTGAGTTTGATTCTCAGATGTGACTTAAATAATATGACCTTTCACTTATAGTTGTGTTTTTTTTTATGATTGCAGCTGTAGACCAGGCCATGAAAATGATATGAAAAAGGAATATGATTCTATATTTCAGGGCGGAGTGCACGGAGTGAACAGAGTGAGGTTTCTTCATTAAGTCTAATCTAACATGTTACTTGTACCAACCTTAACAATTTTTCACCGAGATAAATAAAAAGCGGTACGCGTCGGTGTCACAGACAGCCCAGCACGCGCTATCCCAAAAGGCATTCTCACATCAAATATTGACACGACGCGACGCCCATTGTGTCGGCACAGTCCAAAGGTTATCTTATCAGTGTTTGAGGCAAACACGCGTGTTTGGTGACAGGCGCTCGCGCGTCTGTCGGTTTGTCTTTCGAACATAACCTTATCGTAATTGACGTATTGGGATTAGAGTTTCCGGGAAGTTTCCCGGATTGTTTTAGTGGTTTCAGTTCTGTGTGCACAAGTCGTCCATTTGCGACGACACTGTGATATATCAAAAACAGTGGTTTTACAGAAATCGACTTTTTAACTTTTGAATGACCATAACTCTTAAAAGAAGGTTAGGATTACCTAATTGTGTATGAAACGTTTAAAGATTAACTATTAATGAATTTAAATATTTATAGTAAGACATAACTTTGCGTCTAAATTGATGAAATTAAAGCGATTGAAAAAAAAAGAGACAACTTATCACGTTGTTCTAGTAAAAAATAATATTTTGAAGATGGTAAGTTCAGTTGTCACGTTGAAGATGATGTAAAAAAATATATTTATATAAGTCATTATTTAGATAACACGTTGATCTTGAAAATTTTTATTTTATTTTAATAACATTACAATCAGTAAAAATGAGGTAATTTTTGGAACAGGCGAATATTTCGCTTTGCCATGTTAAATTGCACTTATAAAAATATTATCTAAGTAGACAGACAGTTGTATACATACAATATTTAAGCTCACATTAAGTTTTCTTATTCTAAAAACGAATGCTTATCAAAATAAACGAAAAACTCTCAAAAGTAAAACCACGTAAACTACTAGTTTAAAAAAAAACACAGTAAGAGAAACTGTACTAAGTATGTATGTATGCAGAAGAAAAAATTGTAGGTAGGTACCTACTAGGTTAGTAAATAGATGTTTTTTAACTGACTAGTTATGACAATTTAATCCTAAAATTATCAAAGCAAAAATCGCCGTCTCCGGCGCATAAAATGGCAAAAAAGCGACATTTTGGTACCTTTTAGGGTGTTTTAATTTTTTATACTTATTTAAAATTAAATTTATAAAAGTTATTTAAATAATGTATTAATAGTGAAAAATAACAACCACTATTTATAAATAATGTAGCCATTTTATTGGCGTAGTTTTTCTGAAATAGTTATACCTATTGCAATGTTATTATACAAAACAATGTTGCGCCCGCCAAAGTATATTTGGGCAAGAAGCGATAAAATTCCATCAATTGCTGATTATCTGTAATTATATTAAAACATTAAAATACTTTTTTTGCAGAAAGCAAAACATAGCCAATACAGCTAAGTAACATTGAATAATTACATAAATAAATAAATATCTGGGGTCATCCAACGCATTGCTATTCTAGCATACTTCTACTAATAGATAATTTTGTTAGCTATCGTCTTAAATTAAGCTAATCTAAGGCTATCGTATGTTAATATAAAACATTTTGCTTGTTGTGTCTGTAAAAACAGACAGTCGTATAAGTATGTTTTATTTGCACTGTATTTCTAGTATTTGAACTATTCTTCAAAACGAATGTATGTTTATCAGTCTACATCTACTCATATTAGTTCCGACGTTATTGTAGCTCAAAGAGACCCTTTCACAGCGCTCGCATAGCGCTGTTAGTCATGTTGTCGGATTAGGTTGTGGAATTCCTTCAGGCAGTGCATCGCCACAAATGTTAACCTTTGCTTTTTTGCATTGCTAGTCCCCATCTGTAATGATATCTGGAGTTTAGTATTACTGTTTAGCGTATACAACGTGACAAGTAGATATACCATTCAATTTCAATAACATGTATTCTGCAATAACAGAACATCAACAAATGACCTACAACATATTTTCAATATAGGAAAAATTTTCATCATCTACAACGTTACTAGTTAAGATGTCCCGATGATACTTCGATTTTCTTACAAGAATAACGTGACATATAAATAATTTCTCTTTTACTTTGCTTTTTGTTTTACAAGAACACTGTGATAAGTATGACGTGCCACATTGTCGAATAAAATAAAAATATTTTAAAAACTTACCTTTGTCATCAATACCGCGGTATCCTCGAGATGTCACGTTTTTCTTAAAAACGAAGAGCACCTCACATCTCAAAGCGCAGGTGGCAACTGAACTGTCACAGTGTCGAAGCCAACTAGATCGCCGAACGAGCCAGCGCTATAACGTAATATTTTGTCTCTTTCTCTCATAGTATTGTTGTTTTTGGAGTAACAAAAACCCTGTTTTTGGAGATAAAAGAACGCAAGATTGCGGTTCAGAATTTCGGTAAAACAAAAAATCGTATATGTCGAGATGTCACAGTGTCGTCGCAAATGGGCGAAGTGTGCTTCACACGTTATCACAACTTGAGCTAGAACTATGGTGGAAAGGCTATATCTTCCAAGCGACTAAAATCTCAAAGAGAGCCCAGTGTTTACTAATAAAATAACTAGGCAGCAATGAATTGTTTCGGTGATTTTTAGTAACGTCAAGGACTGGAAAAGCATGTAGAATTGAATTTAAAAATCTTCTACCTACCTACTAGGATTCCATTATCTTACTTTAAGACCGTTTTATTAACTTAGGGGTTAAAATTTTCTAACCCATAATCTCCTAACCAACTTAGTACTCTGAACAGGATACAAAATCTTCACTTCAATGATCTGAATTAAATACCTTTTAGTATTAGGTACCTTTTTTTTCTGCGATACAAATTATCAACATCGTCCAAAATAGGTAGGAGAAATAAATACCCCAATCAGTTAAATCAGTGCAGTCAATCAAATTAATTAAAATACTAAAATATTTTTTCTTATTAACCCACTAAAGGGCAACCCAATAAACAACAAACTATAAAACTGCGAAATCTTATAAAACTAATAGCATGCTTTAAATAGCAAATGACCATAGAGTCAGTTAAAAAGGTCTACTTGGCTACGTGTTTTTACCAAGTAGGCAGTCAAACTTTATGGTTTTACGAGGGCCATAGCGCAGAAGTACCTTCTTAATGAACAGCTTTATTTATAAAGAATTAGACCACCGTCTGTTGATAAATTAGCGTATGTGCCGACAAAATAGGGGCACCAAATTAAAACGTCTTAATTTTATTGGTCCTTCGAGCCTGATGTTTTATTGTGCCCTATTTGAGTTGTAAAGATACTGGGTTCCTCCCGAGCACTTGATTGAGGATTCGTCTTGACTAGTACACGATTGTTCCTGGAAAGGATTTTAATGATGTTTTTTATGCATTTTAATGAGACTACATTTTGATATTATGCTACCACCTTGCAAGAATCTTGCAGGGATTCAGATTATCTCGTTTTAGTCTTCACTTTTGTGTAATTAAATCCTGTGCCAAACTACAATTTATGAGAACTCGCCTACGCGTCTATTTCAAAACACACAGTGGTAAGTATGCATGCAGTATAACTAATTCAAAGCAATAAATAATTATGTTAAAGTAACAAACGAGCAGGCAGACGAGAAAAAAATAACGATATACGTTAATACAATGTAAGCTACATGATAAACCACATGGCAATTTGTTCCAAATTCAATTTTCCCAAAATCGTCGAAATTCATTTGTTTAATAAGGAAGCCGCTGCAATGTCATAAACCCTGCGCCTGCGCTGTCTTAAAGCATTCCCAAGCCACTTGCAACATTATGAACTACCACTTAACGTCACTTCGCAAAAAAATCGGTTGCGTTTCCAGAGAAAATTAAGCATATTGTCACAAATCTACCCAATAACATAATACAAACAAAAAACACCATCCGAAAATTAATTGAATTTTTATTTTAGGCCATATCCAAGAGCATAAGTTATCCGTTGAAACGCAATTAAAATCATAAACATGTGTCTCTTGCCTTACGAGGCCTTAAAATTGTCTACGGGCCCGTAAATTAAAGTTTTTAAGCGATAGAATTTATATTAAGCTCCCAACATGATTTTATTTTATTTTTTAAATAAACTAAGGAGCTGCTTGGACTAATTCTGTGTGGAATTAAAAGCGTGGCGTCCACAAATCTGGGCATTTTATTGTGTATGGCTGTTGAGGAAGCTTCCAATTGGATGGACGGCTCTATGCTGTAAGAGCTCATGGGAGAACAAATATAGTTAAAACCGACCTTAAATTTCGAAAAACTACAGCTAATTTATCATGAAATTTAAAGCGACATGTTACAGTAAAAGTGTCCTAACTCAATCAGAGAATAAATTAAATGTAGAGCAGTTATATTAAAACCAACATAAAAACGGGGTACTTATGAAGATAAAGGCAAAATAATTATCATCGGGTAATCATACAAATAAATAATTTGTACAAAATAAAATACTTTTGTGACCTTATAGGTGACCCTATAAATAAGTTTGTGTAAACACATGGTGTTTTAGTAACATTTTAGAGTACCCAATGCTTAAAAATATATAATTATTTGTGACGCTATTGAATTAGGTAAGAGTCTGAGCTCCTGTATCTGCCTAGCATAAAGTCTTTACCCTGATTAAAAAAGAAACAAATTAAATCCATGGCTGTTACCTGTATGACACCGTCCAAATTAGTGGGTCATTCTTTTTTGTGATCAGCATGTCGCCATAAACGCAATATGATGGGCCACAGAGCGGTAATTACGAAGTTATTTATTATGAAAAAGGGTTCTCTTTGAATGTTATTTAAATAAAACATTTTAGCATTTAAATTGGCTTTGAACCTATTTATATTTTCTCATTATGTTGTTAGCGTTTGATTCGTTTTTGTTTTTCAAAAAATTGTCTCACCTCTCATTAAGTTCGGTTTGAGATGTGATTTGATTTCCAAATAATTATGTTAATACAAACACGTTTGTGAATCTAAATACAGCCTAATTACTTGTGATTATGAACGCAAAATTAAGCTTCAACTAATACTGATTAAAGAAATAATTTACACCTCACAAGTTAATTTTCAAAATTTTATTAAGAACTTTTTAGGGTGAAAATCGAATGAAGTCCTCCCTGACCGAGTACGGAGTGATCATAAAAACAGCTTTGAACGATTACGGCAAAGTGATCGTAATGAAATAATTCGCAACACTTTATTAAGCTTACATTGCTCTAAATGAATTCCAATCGTCTTAGCGGGCGGTAATCATTAAAAAGTATAATTAACAGGCCATTTTGGACCGTATTTCCATAATTTTAAGGGTGATTAAGGTTTCACAAATTGAGATGTTCGCAGTTGGATTAAGCTTCGTGTTCGTAAGTGCGTCAGACCTAATTTGTAGGTAATTGAATGAAGTTAAAGTGTTTGTTTGCGTGTTCGAAGAATGTAAAGGCCGATTTACATCGTCTTATTTAATTTAGTTGTAGTTTAGCTGATTGCATTCAATGAAATTAGCGTACAACTGCCAGATGAAATGTGGATAATATTGTTCATGGTATTTGAATGAAATGGCGCTTAGCTAGGTTAAAGCTGGAATAAAATGCTAGCTAAGCGGATTGTGTGATGACAACGAACATTTATAACACAAAGAGTCAATCCGTATAATTCTATGTGGTTTTAAACTGCAACAAAATTGACACTTAAAATGACCGCATATTGATGTAATGTGAGATTTTATTTAGAGATCCGCATAAACATTTCGTTACTAAAGTACGTAATGAAGTCATTGCAGAATTATGATTATTTCTCCACTTAATTATGGATTTTTTAAAATTAAATACTATTATTAAATACAAAATAGCTCTAGTATCTTTTTGACTACTCAATACTCGTAACATAATAATATGTATATCTATTGCTGTACATAAAGTTAACTATTCACCAAGATCTAATTCTAGCTCCAACCTACTTGTCAGTAGAGCAGTAGGTACATACTTCAGTATCAGTATCAGCACAATGTAGCTGCTCTATCGTTCGTTCGTTCGTTTCAGCCAAATGACGTCCACTGCTGGACAAAGGCCTCCTCTAAGGTTTTCCACAATGCACGGTCCTGCGCTGCCCGCATCCAGGCTCTTCCCGCGACCTTTACCAGATCTTCGGTCCACCTAGTAGGAGGCCTGCCCACTGCTGCTCTATACTAACAAACTCATAGATATAAACATCTAATACATCTTCTTATTAAAAGAAATTGAAAGCTCTATTAAATAACTACGACAGAACTCAAATAACAAAATAAACACACTTGACCGCTCCGCAACGCTCCGTTGCGACTTGCGGTACAAATAAAAAATGTCGTAACCGCACTTCATCACACAATTAAATTCTGACTAAGAAAGGGTATCGATGGCGACCATTACGGGCCCCATTGTTACCATTCGACTCACAATGCCTTACTTATGACCCGTTTAGGACATGAAAAAAGAAATGGCCAGGCGCGGACACACGTGTCGCGACGACGGCGAATAGAAGGGGAGGCCTATGTACAGTGTGAACATCCTGTTTCTGAAATGATGATGATGATGAGATGGGAAGAGCTCCAGAATGCATCGTCCTGTGGCGTATACAAATTTTTATGTTAGTTACTAGTAATACAAAATATTACATTGAGTAACGAAATGTCACATACTATTTTCCAGCTATGCTTTCTGCTAATTTAGTTTTTTTAGCAAATACAAAGTAAAACTGCAAATATGTTTTAATTTTTCCTCATTCGTTAAGAACGTAAGTAGCTGCCATGACCCATTTTACTTCCATGTCTTTCGCTATTTGGAAAAATGAAGCCTTTACTTCCTTTCCCTTTCATTTTAGCTGCGAGTGTTTCTTATTAAGATTTCTTCAAGTTAGGTAGGTACTTGATTGTTTTTGAATTTGACTTTTTTAGAAGCCGTCGACTATACAAGACTATTTCAGCTTTTTACAAACCTAAACTTATGTAAAATACCTCTAGGATAAAAATATGTTCGCCGAACACTCCAGCCGTGTGTATCAACATTATTCTGGACCATAACAAATCCGTCAGATCAACGCCGCCGCTCGACGGCCAGTTACGGCTGTGTATGAATATTATGATCGTTTCTTATTGTTATTAACACCAACTTGTAGGTGTACAGACGGCAAATCAGAATATAGTTTATTGCAAAATGGCACCTATCACAACT